CCCATAATTAACTTCTCCTGCCCAAGCCCGCGCCTCTGTATTCAGGATTCAAACAACATTCCTCCAAGAAAAATCCCAAACACATTACCACCTAAGCTATTATACACTTGTGAAATAACATAGTTTTAAAATAAATATACCCTTTCCGGGCTCGGGCTGGGCTTTTGGCTTTATATAATATCAACCCAAGCCCAACCCGAATTTAATTCGGGCTTATAATATCTAGCCCAAGCCCAGACCTAGAACAGAAAAACACTGCCCAAGCCCTAAAAATTTTGGGCTGGGCTCGGGTAAATTCGGGCTGGCCCAACCCGAGTTTCAGCCTTAGACTTATGCCTTGCTTCAACCGAGCCACCTCAATTCCTAAAAAAATACCAAAATTTACCCAAATCCTTAATAAGGAAGCTAGAACTCAAGTGATGGATTAGAACTTGTATCCCATCTTTATCACTACCGGTGATAACAATATCATCTACATACACCACAAAAATCACAATACCAAGTTTCGTTTTCTTAAAAAAGAGAGAGTGGTTAGCTTGGTTTCTGGTCATACCATGAGCCACCACTGCTTTACTGAACTTATCAAACCATGCACGAGGGGAATGTTTAATGCCATAGATAGACTTCTTGAGATGACACGCGCAAACCCCCTTATTCTCAAACCCAAATGGTTGAGATATAGACAATCTCATTAAGGTCAGCATACAGAAAGGCATTTTTAACATCAAGTTGATGAAGTGGCCGGTCTAGATTAGATGTAAGAGAGATTATCACACAAACAGAATTCAGTTTGGCCACAGGAGAGAACGTCTCAGTATAATCAAGGCCATAAGTCTGGATGTAGCCTTTAGTAACAAGTCGAGCTTTGAGACGGTCAATAGTACCATTAAGCTTCTGTTTAAAAGTAAAAACCCAATGACAACCAATAACCTGAGTATCAGCAGGCTTAGGCTTCTGTTTAATAGTAAAAACCCAACGACAACCAACAACCTGAGTATCCGCAGGCTTAGGAACAAGGTCCCAAGTATGATTCAATTTTAAAGCGTTTATTTCTTCTTCCATAGCTTTTCTCCTCCCTGGATGAGAAAGTGCCTCCCTTTAGAACTTAAGAAGAGCAATAGAGGATAATGACAAAGAAAAAGCTTGAAAGGAGGACAATTTATTATACGATACAAAATTAGAGATAGGATGATTGGTACAAGATCGTTTACCTTTCCGAACAGCAATAGGTTGATCAACATTAGAGTCCGAAGAGATGGAAGAATCTCCAAGCGTTGAAGCAACTAGTGGAAGTGGCAAGGCTACTATTTTCCAGCAACAAGCATAGACACGAAGAGTTGGTGGGATGTCAGAATCAAAAACTGGAGTTGGAAGAACAGAGTTCTCCAGACAATAAGGAACATCCTCAAAGAAAGTTACATCTGCACACACAAATTGTTTACGAAGAGTTGGACTATAACATTTATATCCGTTTTGAGTACAAGAATAACCTAAGAAAATACATTTGTGAAATGAGGATCAAGTGTAACGACCCGAACCCGAGGGTCCGAATCGCTAACCGGATCCTTACCCGAACCCGAGGTCGTCTAAGGGCACTATAGTAAGTTCAAAGGTCGATACATAATGTACGTGCCATCCCAAGGCTTATACAAAACAAATGAGCTCACAATTATGAAAGATGATAAAACAGTCCACTAACCCATTCAAACCTATGGAGAAACGTTGTTCGCCACTTTCTTCACATGACCTGAAAAATATTAAAATAATGGGTTGAGCATAAAGCTCAGTAGGAAGTGTCTACGACACATTTCTTACGACCCCGTGAATCAACGCAAAGCATAGGGTAAAAGTAAACGGAATTATATCAATTGGGAGAAAAACACAACGCCAACAATATCATCAAAAACCATAAAAACAGGTCATCAAACCATATGCATACAATATATGCCAATGCAATGCAATGACATGTCGCTCCCCATTTTCCAAAACAATTCCTTTTCACCGTTCCAAACCATTAATTCGACTCGACCGATAGCACCTCTATGGCGCCACGGGGAAGGATTGGCTAGCTTTCTCCGACCACATGGCAATTCCATGGCGTCGTCTAGGCCTAGATAGCTCAACCACACTAGAGTCTCTCTCTATTTCCCTTTAGATCACATTACCACCACAGACCACTAGGCACCTCTTAGGCATCCGATTTTCACGACGCTTTTCAAATAAGAACATTTTTCCCCAAATCAATTTCCTTTGCTTTTAAAACACTTTTTTTTTTTTTTTTTTTTTTTTGCCCCATTTTTCTTTCCCAATGAATGCATAAATGCTTCATGCTTCTCAAATTGCCGTAATCTCATAAAATTCATTCTTATAATATAGCATGCTTGACAAGGAAATTCTAATAGAATATAACAGGCTTACTAACACCCAAAATTTCAGCAACTCAACGTGTGAAATTAAAAACACAACCATTTAAGCATGATTCTCAATTAAAATTTAACAACCATAAACTCAAAAATCACTTTTACATGCAAGCTCATATGGACACACAACATTTATATACAACACTATAGCAATTACTCAAAGAGCTACCCCAATTTTAGCATGTTATACATCAAATATAAGAGGATAAGTCACAAAAATCAAAGATTGAGTGGATTAGAACACTACCTCTTAATTGTATAGAAAAGCCCCAAAATCTCCAAATTCAAACCCTAATTTTGAAATCCCAAAGCTTGGCCAAATGGTGCTTAGCTCCAATCAAATCGACGGCCTCGACGAGCTCTACAACTTTGCCGAAGGAAGTGCTATCAAATTCCAATTGTTGTGGAGGAAATCAAGCTTTGAATGGTGAAAAGAAAAAGAAAAAAAGAAATTACAGAGGGAGAGAAAAGAAACTGGAGAGAGAGAGAGAGAGAGAGAGAGAAGGGAAATGGTCTGCAAAATGACCATTGGTCATTATAATGACCAAGTCCAAGTGGGGCCCAGCAGAAAAATAAAAATAAGAAATATTACATCAAGTTTGTCTCGTCCCGTGCTTAGATTATGAACAAAACAGACACACCAAAACACCTTTGGAGGAATGGAAAAATGATTTTTGTCAAAAAGAATATCATTTGGAAGAGTGATTTTCCTTAAAAGACCCTAGAAGGCATGCAGTTTAAAAGATAAGCAGCAACCAGCAACCAGAACTGCATCTGCCCAAAAATGTTTTGGAACATGCAGTTGAATTATTAAGGCACGAGCGATAGCTAGGAGTGGGTCATTCTTCCGTTTAGGAACTCCATTTTGTTGAGGGGTATCAACAAAAGATGTTTGATGGATAATGCCCCTCAACTCAAGAAAATTTTGAAAAACATTAAGTTTATATTCAAGGGCATTGTCAGTTCTAAAAACAAGTCTGATTTTGAATTTCAACATAAAAGGATTGAAAAACAGAGAATACTTAAAATCTATCTTTAAGAATATAACCCCAAGTTACTTAAAAGAAAGAAAGAATATAATCCCAAGTTAAACGTGAATAATCATCAATAAATGACACAAAATAACGAGCACTAATTAAACCAGTAGTACGAGCTGGTCCCCAAACATCTGAATGTACTAACTCAAAAGGTTTTAAACTTTTATCAAAACGAGACTTAAAAGTAGCTCGACGATGTTTACTAAGTTTGCAAGTACTACAATTAAACTTAGAACAATCAACTAAAGAAGGGACCAAGGCTCAAAGACTATTTGAAGAGGGATGTCCAAGGCAGCAATGCCACTGGTAAGCTGAAGAGGAGGTGGAATGTAAAGCTGTCGGAGCAGTAGTTGGTTGGAAGTAGTAAAGACCATCATTTTCAAACCCCCACCAATCGTCTTCTTCGTCTTGAGATACTGAAAGACACAACAGGAATGAGAAAAAGTAACTGAGCAATTTAAATCTAATATGATTTTGTGAACTGACAATAAATTGAATGAAATTTGAGGGATATATAAAACTGATGAAAAAGTGAGACCCGAAGTGCAGAAGGTACCAATTCCGTGATTTGGCACCATTCGCTATAGTAACAACCGATGGTGAGAAAACATGAGAAATATCATAAAGAAGAGATGGATTACCTATCATGTGATCGGATGCCCCTTAAATCAATGATCCAAGGTGTAGAAGATGAAGCATGGAGACACATATTACTTGAAGTAACGATAGTAGAGGTGGAGGAGGGTTGATTTGCACGCTCACGCTTTAGCAGTTTTGTGCTGGTGATTGACCAAGGAGATGGGATTCCTTAGTATCCATCACAAGAGCCTGCCGAACAAATGAGATATAGTAGCGAGAGGGAGCCGAGATAAGAGAACCAAGATCTAGCCGAGATTAACCCGAGAAAAATTATCGAGGAGAGAGGAGAGATTCGAGAGAGATTGCTGAGACGAGAACTGAGATCACCGAGGAAAGATCGCCGAGAAGAGATTGAGAGAAAGCTGAGATGGAATCAAAATCGGAGTCGGAATAAGACTAAAAAAAAAAATTAAAGAGGAATCGATTTTCGCTCTGATACCATGTTAACTTTCCATTTACTCTTAAAAGCTTAAGCTGTTAGAGAGGGGGTAACTTAAATATATAAATCCTTCAACAGTAACCAACAAGTCTTAAGAGTGTGAGTTGAGAACTAGCCTTATATAAAGCATTCTTTGTAGCAGTAGAAGTGTTATTTTCTATTGCCAATCAAAGTGCGGAAGAGTGTGAGTCTGCAAGCCAAGTGAGAAGACGAGAGTCACTACAACACTAGTAAGCGCACGAATGGAAGTGTGTGGCCTTGATGAGTGAGCACGGGAGTTAGGCTGACTGTTGCGAGGAGATGCAACATCTTGGTGCCACACGGGTTTGGCTAGAGTAGTGGAGGAACTCTAAGCTCGTGACATATGTGGCTTCCTTCTTCTAGGGAATTGAATGTTTATCTATTCGTTGTTATTTGTTGCTATATTTTTGCCTTTAATGATGTTTTTATATTATGCCTCCTTAGGAATCCTTCATCGGATGGCGCGTGCCGTTTACATCAAGAAAGGAAAGTTTGCAAACATCGACAATTTAATCGAAAGCGTAGTATCTCTTATCAAAAAGGAAGGAAAGTTTCAATACTCCCTCAGTTTTGTCGTAAGTTCAATGTATATATATCATTTTAAATTTTTTTATAATTCAGATAATTTTTTTAACAATTATGTTGTTTAAACAGGAGGAAATTAGTAGATACCAACATAGATTTTTTGAAAAGAAGCACCACATAAAATTAGAAAATTATGGGTTGTACAAAAAAGGTAACATTGATTGGCATGTGGCTGGGGTTTCCAAGTCGAGATATATGTCGATAGAAGACTTCATGAAGTGGGTGTCCTGGATTCCTAGAATGTATGACAAAAGGATTTATAATTACATGTTTAAGCAGCAAATGTATGTTTTGGAGAGTTTGCGGATGACTCTACTAAGAAAGGATATAGGCAACTGTGTTTGGCGTCCACCACTCATGGGATGGTACAAATTAAATGTTTATGGGTTTTTTAAGGAAAATCTTGGTGGGACCAAAGAAGCTTCTTGTGGAGTAGTATGGAGAGATTTTAGGGGAAGGATTGTGAAAATTTTCCATAAGCCACTTCCTGATGCGACATCTAGAGAGGAAGTTCTCTTACTTGGAGTGCATTATGGTTTAGATAAAACTCTCCAAAGAAGATCGGGAGCAAAGAAAATAGTATTGGAGATTGACCATAAAAGAATTTTCAACGTGCTAAACTGTGATAAGCCTAAACCACTGGAATGTTCACTGGAATGTTCAGAACTTTACGAGTAAGCTTTTTTTATAAAGTTTGAGTTTATGCTTTATTTTTATGTAGTTTGAGTTTATGCTTTAAATTTATATTTCAGTATTCAGTTATATTGATATAAAAACTATTGTTATGCAGCAAAACTTTGGATATGTTGGTAAAATTTGAGGGATGTGACATATGGTTTTCACATGGAAATGCTGTGGCTAATAGAGTTGCGTATATAGCTTCGCATTTGACCGTGGGACAGAGTTTTCCGATAGGAGACAAAGGTTTTAAGACACTAGTCAGGTGTGATCGATTGAGAATTCCACGACATGGGATCTTCCTGAAAGAAAGTATGGAAATTGACGATTCGTCATCGGACGAATCGTCGGATGACGAACCCGAACCGTATTTCTTCAGTGACTATCATCATATATAAATGTATTTTAAATTCCTAAAAAGAAAAAGTTATTAGCTTGATATTGTGTTGTTCCCCTGGCACTAAAAACGAAAATAAAAATATAGGAAAATTGAGATGGGCTCTATTTCATCTGTATCAAAATAATCCTAGTTTGTGTTTTCTATATATTGTAGACTCTAAATCATGACAATCACACTTATTTATGCTCCTATTTCTATGTAAGCCTTTTTTTTACTTCTACAAATTTCTTTTATCTTTATTCTAGAAAGTTCACTAGGAGACGAAAGAATTGTTGGCTGAATATATTTTCGGCCGTTTGTTATCTGGTGGATTATTATACTAGCAAAGAGAATCCCAAGAGCCTCACAATGAGAATGCCCTTGCGGTGATTGTTCTACTCCAGTGTGTGTGCCCGTTCTATATTTGATTTTAGCATTAAGTTCATTACTTATTAAAGCAACTGGGTCGTCACAAAATTATCTTTTTGCAAGGGCTCCATATATTGGCGTACCATGTAACTTCAAATTACATCAATTTTTGTTATTTATTTGTCAGTTTATACTTTTGTGAGTGTTACACTTTAAGTCACATAAAGCGGAAGCGAATTTGAGAACGGGAGAGTGAGAGCGGTAAAATTATGTTATAAATAGTGAGAATTTGAGTAAGAGAGTGCGCAGAGCAGGAGTGCATTCGAAGTGTGCTCAGAGCGTGAGAGCGACATCTGTTGAGAAGAAGGATTGTGCTAATTAAGTGCTCACATTTTTATAACTTTAATATTCTTTTTAATATATATATATATATATTACTAACAAGGATGACCTTTCCGAGTTTTGGTATAAAGTTTGTCATTTTTTTTACAAAAACGTCTCCTCAAAATAAAAATACCATTTTCCCCACTAATATTTACCCATTAAATTTCCATTTTATTTTGCCCTTTTTTCCGCTATTCCTCTCTCCTCTCCATCGCTATCGACCATATGCACACACCTGCACATTACAATAGATGAGACCACGGCGGCGAGGATGGTTGGGTGACTAGGTCTGCAACGAAGGCGGCGCCGAGGTTTGGGGTTACGTTGAGATTGATCTCGACATGGCGACGGCGATGATTCTGGTCTGGCGGTAAGGACGCGATGATGCTGGTTTCCGGCATCGGAAAGAGAGCCCCTTGCCGGAATTCATCGCCTCTTGCGAATTCGACGTCTGGACTCCCTTTCCAACGACGGATTCCGGTTCCAACGAAACGCTACTACTTCGGTGTGAACTACGGGATCTTGATCTCCACATGCGTCGCCATATCCCTCATCAAAAATCCGATCACAGACGTCAAAACCTCCACCACCGCCACTAAAATATGGCTGTATACCACCATTAGAAATGCCCCCAGCACAGCCGAATGTGCTGGTGCTACCGATTGTTGGGAGGTTAGGTTGGTTTTTACCTCTGCAAAATCATCTGGAAAAAATAGAAAATCAAGGGTAAACATATCCATCCATCGACCCAAACCGCCTAGGATCTCACTGGTAGTGTGGGTCAGAGATCGAGATCGTGGATCAAGCTAAGATCGTGACCACACATGTACATACATACATATATATATATTCCAACCATATTATATATATATATATATATATACACACACACAGTGATATAAATATATATATGTGTGTGTGTTAATTAAAAGGTAAAAAAGCATAAAACCCCCCTCAAGTGTTAAAAATTAGCATTTTATTCCCTTAAACTACAAAATCGAGCAAGTCAGTCCCTCAACAATCATAAATGATCAGTTTCACCCCGGCAGTCCTTTCCAGACCGTCATTGTACATTTACAAAAATACTCATTATAATTAACATTTTAAAAAAGGCAAATAAAATTAAAATTGAGAAATACCATCAATACCCTCATTCTAATACATCACCTCACTCTCCACAGTTCATTTGAAAATTTTAGAGAGAGAGTAGAGAGAGAAAATGGGTAAGGGAGGGATGTCTCATGGTGGTGGTGGTGGTGGGGAAGAAGATAACTCGACAGCTTGGCTTGTTAGTATCAATACCCTCAAAATTCAGCCTTTCAAGCTCCCTCCTCTGGGTATCAATCTTCTCAAACCGAATGTGACTTGCAAGGTGGAGAAACTCGGTGGCACAAAACTAGCAAGACCAGGCCAGTCATGGTTAGTGGTAAACAGAAAGGGTGTAAGAAAATCCTAGTTCTCTACACAAACTTTGGTAAGACTAGAAAACCTGAAAAAACCAATTGGGTGATACACCAATACCACTTGGGTCAACATGAAGAAGAGAAAGAAGGAGAGCTTGTGGTATCAAAGATATTCTATCAAACTCAGCCGAGGCAATGCAACTGGTCTGACCCAAAGTTGAATAGGTGCACTCTCTCCCCGTTCTTTCTCCGTCTCTCTTACAAAGTATCTCATTAGTATAGTGTTGATTCTTTGTCCGATGATGCTATATGGTAGTGCCAGCGCCTGTGAGCAGTGTGTTCCTAGACTGGTGGCTTAAAAAGCACGGTTCTGCATGTCAGCAGGAAGCACGCATAGTGAAATTCGTCCTTAACAATAGGAGATTTAGTTATTTCGTGCCAAATCTCAAGAACCTTTGATTGCTCGAAGGAGATCCTCTATATTGGCAATGACCGCAATCTCAAGCCTCTATTACGGTTTATGGATATAGTCTAGCCCATTTGTGGTATCTGATTGTTGGGATTTATATGTCCTGGTATAGCAAATTCCTATTTAGATTAAAATGACATATGTTCCTGACGTATCTGAAATATTTATACTTTATACAATTGGTAAATTCAATATATTATGTTTCGATTCATTATGGAATTGATAGTGTCTATTTGATTACAAGAGATATTTATATATATGTATGTGATGGCGATCAATGCATAATATATAAATAGTAATCATAAATGGTTCATAGTCGGTAATTATGGATGGACTCATTATTAACTAAGACTTGAACTGGATCTGCGTTAAGTTGAGATATATTGCGAGAGCCGTCGTATGCAATTGCTCCCTATCACTGTTATAGCATTTGAATCTTAAGCATGAGAGAAGTATAGACTCTTTTATTAATTAGTAATTACTTTGATTTGTTCAGCGGAATCTTTAGAATCCTTAGACCGGTACTTTGGGTAATTATGTAATTAATAGTTAAAGGGTTATATTTTCAATATTTGCATCATTGCTACTTGTATTTATTTTGTATTGATTATGGTTAATCACAAAGTAAATTCGAAAGCCTTTCGTGTGTTTTGAGACAAAATTATTTATTATATAATTATTTATTTAAATTATTATTTTTGTTAAACAAATGTTTTATTATGATCGAACCGGAAATAATCAAAAGTACCAAAATAAATATATTGATTAAGTAGTTGGATTGATGGCTTTATTTATCCGATAACTAATTATGTATAGAGGGGTCAAAGTACAACATTGACTTAGAGGTTATTTATTATTTAATTGGAGTTCAATTAATTTCTTTTAGTGGAGTAGAAATTAATTTATGAATTAATTGAATTGGGTCCATGGATCGGGCCAATTATTAATTCATTGTAGCCAATAAAATAATAAGCTCAAAGGATTCTCACTCATAGCCCAACTTGATATTGGAATTCTATTAGATTTGAGACATGTGAATTAGAGATTGAGAATGATTTATTGTTTCCTTTTCTTTATCTTTATGTTGCCTATATATATACATGATCTATGTATATTTTAGGGGTGATTTTTTGGAAGAAGGAAAAAGTAATATATTTTCTCTCTCTAGAAAATTAGAGTTAATGTTCTCATCTAATGGAGGCTCCTACAAGCCTAGTTTTTCAAGGTTATTCATGGAGGCTTATGAGTGATTCCTAAAGGATAGACCATTAAGAAGAAGATAGAAATCCAAGGAGAATGCATCTAGCAAACGGGATCTACAATAAGTGAGAACATTCACTTTAGAGGAGAGATTTAAGGTTTACTCAAACCTTTGATGTAAGTATCTAATCCATTAATTGAATGATATATCATATTTGATTTTTGAATAAAACTTGTTTCTATGTGATGAATCAAGATCTGTGAATGAAAATCCCTCGAAAAGTTTTTAAAACTAGCACGTTTCCCAACATTGATATCAGTGGGTTTAGTAGAATTGTAGTGTCTCAAGTCTGCCGGAAACTTTGTATGCGTTGAAGTTTTTCTATAGAAGATCTATGCTCCTTTTTTTGCAAAGTGGTTTGTGTGGGCAAATGATACTGCAACTTTTTTGAGCTTTACTGCACATTTTTGCAAGGATTATTATACAACCCAGCAGATGATCATTCTGTGACTGGGTATTAAAACGGGTCACATTAATAATTTCTAATTTCTACACAACATGAATAGATTTCATTCATTAACAAATCGACTGATGTGGTGCATGAGGCTATCCAATCACAAATAGATTTAACCATCAAATTCCACACATAAAACACAGAAGTTCCACCAGATTACCTATAGATTTGAAAATATACTCTGCCCATTGGTGGTCCTTAACCATGAATATCCTAAAATGCAACCAACAAAAAAAATTCAAATGAATTGAGAGGCAAGGCTACTCCCAAGATTTTTTATGACACTGTTCAAAGGAGTTGCTTATACAAAGATATCACCACACAATTGTTAAAATGGAAAACATATATACGTATAGATAATATATGATAATATATATATATATAAAGTACAAAAATACATATATACGTATAGATTATATATGATAATATATATAAAAAGTACAGAAATACACACACACACACACATATATATACACCTATCTGACCTTAACTTCTTCAACTTTAATGGAATCTTTTTATCTACACTTGGAGAGGGGAGCAGTTGCAGTTGGAGGAAGAAGAAAGGAATTTTGGACTCAATTTATAGACAAGGCTACAACAGTCATATTGCAAGGGCAGTTATGGAATTATATCAAAAAGTAACCTCACGCGCTCCATCTGTGCCGGAAATGAGCTGGAAAGGACTACCAGGGGGTGAAACTGATCATTTCTGATAATTAAGGGACTGACTTGCTCGATTTTGTAGTTTAGGGGGTTAAAATGCTGATTTTTGATACTTGAAGGGGGTTTTATGCTTTTTTGCCTAATTAAAAATCATATTGTTGATTATGGGTAGGGCTTGCTGGTGAATTGAAGATAATTGTGAAAATCTGAGTGTGAACATGTATACTTAATTTACAATTAGA